TCTGGGATCCACGCTGTGAAAGAATCATGGCGTCGAACGTCTGAGTCCACTACCGCCGCCTGCGGGTCGACCTTCGGGGGCCTCGGCCGGCGAATCTGGACAGTTTCGCGCCCTGGGGAGGGCAGATGTTTCCAGATCCACCGCCTGCGGAGGTCCTCGACCCCATCAGGCGGTGATCACGTACAGTGGGGGGCCCATGCCAAGAAACACCCTGCTTGCCTCCAGGGTGCCCCGGGCTCCTTGGGTTCCCAGGGTTTCGCCATGGAGAGCGTGACGCTCCCCCGCCAAAAGTCGATGGACGCCATGGGGTCTCAGGGTTGAGTCTCTTGTGGTCGGGCCTCCACTGTACAACTCCCCACCTCACGTAAGGGCCCGTGAGAGGGAGCGCGCTGTGGAGGAGAGGGCGCGCCAGGAGCGGCTCGAGGAGGCGCGGGCGGAGCTTGCGGAGCGCCTCTTCTCCTTCCTTTTTCCTCCTTCGCCTCCGCCTCTCCCTCCTCCTCCTCCTCCTCCTCCTCCTCCTCCTCCTCCTCCTCCTCATCCTCCTCCTCCCTCTGCAGATCTTCCTCAGCGCTGCGTGCCGAGGCCCTCTCTGTGTTCGGTGCTTCGCCTTTGGTCGGGCTCCGCCCGCTGAGGTGGCCCGACCAGACGCTACGATCCAAGCTGGTCTAAGTCTGGCCCACGTCAAAAAGAGGCGCGGGCGGCGCAGGAGGCCGAGGCGGAGCGGGCGGCGCTCGAGGAGGAGGAGCGCGAGGGGAGCGACCAAGAGGGTTGGCATCGCTCGGACGTGTGCATTTTTCTTGCGGCGAGGACAATCTAGGAGCATCCTTGATCATTTGGCGAAAAAGCCACGCACGAAACTGAAAAAAACACAGGGAATGGACGTCCGAGCGATGGCCAGGAGGGGGTTGATAACCAGGGGGGTGGATCCCATGGCAGGGGCAGTGATCTCTCTCGGACGTCCTTCGAGAAGGAGATCGACTGCAGAATTGAATTACCCCAGGCCAGAATTGGAGTGTTCGTCGAACCCACGAAAAAGTCGTGCAGATATTGAGATCTCACCGCCCACCAAACCACCTCAACCCAACCCGAAGGCAACACATATGAAGCCCGTACCCCCGGCCAACCCGAAATTCGGTTCTTCGGGTTGGGTTGGGGTGGTCTGGTAGGTAGTCAAGATCTACGAGCGTTCTACAGATTGCTTCAGATTCGGCGAACAAACGCTTCGGGGTGCACATCCATTCTGCAGTCGATCTCCTACTCGAGTCCTTATCCCTTCTCCTTCGTTGGATCTGTTCCGTGGGCCCCCCCTCAGCCACACACGCACCTCGGGCCAGGATGAACTCCCAGAGGTCCGACGCCTCGTTCTTTTTCAATGAGGGGTCACCGCGAATCTCGATCCTGGGTCGGGGCTCAAGAGACAGGGGTTAATGCAAACGAGGATCAGCCAGAGCGAAGTATCTTGCAGGATCCTTCAGAGCCAGGGTTGCACTGACCCGGGCTTGGGTGCAGGATCCTGCAGGATCATGCAAATCTTGGCTGATTGATCCCTGACTGGGGACTAGTTTTTCGTCCTGCGTCGTGTCTTGACGACCCTGGGGGCCCAGCAGGCGCCTTCAGAGGCCCAAGCTAGCGAAACATTTCTCCTTAGAATCGGCCGGTATGGTTTTGCAGCTCGCGGTCCCAGACGCTCCGACCCTCTTCAGGCGTAGTTTTTCGTCCCAGATCCATTCTTGACGACCCCGCGGCCCCATGACGGGCCCTGAAGGCCGACATCGAGGGAACACGCCGGGACCGAAAACCAAAAGACAGATCGTATGGCCCTGTGGTGCGGGCGTGGGCTCTGGTCGCGGGTCTGGTATATTCCAGATTCCTTCGCTGAGGCTTGTGTTTTGTATGTTGTGAAGATGGCCCCAGGGGGTGGAATCTGACTGAGGCGGGGAGGGTGTGGTATGCAGATCAGGACAACTATCGGGTTTTGGGAGGATGGGGTTCGGGAGAAGCGGGGACATCCCTACCCGTAGGAGGCCGAAGGTATCGTTCAGTGCATCCGGATGTTCTTGCTCTCACCCTTCATCCTCCCAACCCCTTCCTCGCAACACGATACTTGTTCTCCACAGCAAACAAATCCTTCAGAAAACTACAGATCCCAAGCGAAAAATCTGGAGGAATCTTGAAGGAACACTGAATCCCAACGTTTTTTGGTCTGCGGGTCGAGAGCGAGCCTCTTCCAGTTCAGAGTGCGCTGAATCCCAACAAACAAAGCACAACAAATCCGAAAACATCCTCCACTAGAACTGCCTCCTCCTCAAACAAAAATCCAGCGACATCTGGAGGAGACACGTCATCGGAGAGCTGGGGCTCCCGCCTCCAACAAAAACGCCCCCTCGCTCCCCCCGGGCCGCCCCCGCGAGGAGCACGAGGCGCGGCGGCTGGCGGCCCTCGAGCTGGCGGCGCGGCGGCAGGCCGAGGCGCTCGCCGCCGGGGCGCTCGCGGCCCAGGCCTGCGTCGGGCGTGCCCTTCTTCTGGAGGGGTATGCAAAGAGAGTCAAAAAGTGGTAGGGGGACGAGTTGTCGACTATTCGTTGACATTCGGACGCCCGGAATGGGTACGGAAAGGATGGGTTCAATGCCCAACAGCAGTTCCTGTTCATTTTGAACCGGATTCGCTGTCCACGCCGCCGCGGCCTGTGTCTATTCGAGACAGAAGGCCGGGGCGCTCGCGGCCGAGGCCTACGTCAGTCGTGTCCCTCTTCTGGAGGAGTATTCAAAGATGGTCAAAAAGTGGTGAGGGGACGATGTTTCGACTATCTGTTGACAGTGTCTCGTCATGTGTCGACGGCTTTTCATCATTCGTCCAATAATCTCGGAGGTTGATAGACCTCCTACCCTGACACGTCGATTCAGGAACTGGCCGTTTTCGGTTCGCGAGGGGGCGTCGCGGTCGTCATTCTTGCGGGTCCAGGTCCGTCGGTTTCGGTCCCAGGCCGTTTTCATTAAGGGGAGGTTTACTAAAGGGAGGCTTGTCCATCGCCGATTGTTGTCATTTTCGTTAAGCTTGGCACCGGGGAAATGACCACAGCCACTGCTTCTTTTTCGGCCGGCTGGAAGGCGGCGCAAACAAGAAGCAGTGGGGGTGGTCATTAAGGGGAGGTTTACTAAAGGGAGGTTTGCCCACTGTCGATCATCCGCCCGCGGGGGGCCACGCCCGACCGCAGCCCAGGCGGAGGAGGCCCGCCAGCGGGAGGAGGCCGCCGCCCAGCGCGCCCGCGACGACGCGAGGTCCGCCCCCCGCCCGCAGTCGGATGCTCCAGGCCTCCCAAATGGGTCGCTTGGGCGGCGAGGAGTAGGGAGGAGGAGGAGGAGGAGGAGGACGACGAGGAGGAGGAGGAGGAGGAGGAGGAGGAGGAGGAGGGGGAGGGAAGGGGAGAAGGGCAGGAGGAGAAGGAGAAGGGGGTGACGACCAGGCGGGGGCCACATGCGGAACCTACCTCACCACCCCGATTTCTGAGGGGGTGGGTGGGGTTCAATTCGCTCGGGAGCTCCCGAGGGAAGTGAAGGCCCACCTCCCCTCAGAATTTAAGCGTGGGGGCAGGCGGTAGGGTTCGCATGGTTGGACCCCTAGACCAGGCGGGGGTGGAGAGCATGGCGGTGGGCCATGGTGTTCCCTCAGGTTTCACGGCGCCTCTTCTTGTTTCATTGCGTCCCTGGCCTCCCCCCCCCTTGGGCCGCGCACGCGCCGCCGGCCACGATTTGTGCCCCCCCCCTCTTGGACGCCCCCCCTCTTGGCCGCCCCTGAATGGGGTCCGAGTAGATGGGGTCGGAGGATCGCGCCGCCTCGCCGATACGTCGCCGATGCACCGGCAATGCAGTGGCGATTCCTCGGCAAGGCATCGGGAGCGAGGTCCGTTCTCGCCCATATGCATAAACTTGTGGAGCGTGGATCCGCGCTGGCCCCCCTCCAGCGGCGCCTCCGGCGCCGCCCTTTGCGGGCTCCGCGCGCCAGGGAGGGGGTCCGGCGCAGATCCAAGAAATCCGCGCGGAGCGGCAAAACATTTACGCACTTGCACTCCGGCTCGCTCGCAGCGGGGAAGGCTTGTCAGAAGGAGGCTTCTTCCTAGAAGGCTCCCCGGCCCTGCATCTGCAGACAAGGCCCGCGCGTTCTGAGAAGCAGGGGTACTTCTAGGAAGCATTCCCCCCTCCCCCGATCCCCCTCTGCGCGCCGCCAGCTCACTCGCACTCATTCTTCCTTCTTGGCGTCGCGGCCCCTCGAGCAGCGACAGGGTGTAGAAACAAAAGCACTCGGACTCACACTCAGACTGAAGTTCTTTCGCGCGCAGGCTCGCTCGCACTCAGACGTACTCAGACGCGTACCCATGGCGCGCCCCTGGGGGAAAGAGAGGAGAGGCGGGCTTCAGAAAAAAAAGAGAGGTACCGATGCCGCTGGCCCTTCTCTCGTCTCAGCCTTCTCTGAGGCCTCCTGGGGGCCCTCGTCGCCACCACTGGATTCTCCTCGAAGGCTCGCACGGCCTCGGGCCTCCTGAGAAGCTTTGAGCCTCCCCCGAAGACGCAGCATACACTCCTCGGAAGGCCCCGGGGGCTTCCGAGACGCCCCGCCGCCCTCGGAGAAGGCCTGCCCCCTCTCGCCCTCCCCGGGCGCGCCGCCGACTGTGAGAGTGGCCCTTCGCAGGCCAGCCACAACTGGGGGAGCTGTGGTCCTTACCCCGCTGGGGGACCCATCGATTTCGGCACCCCTCTCGAGAGATCATCGATGCGATGGGTTCCCCTAGGGGGGTAAGGACCACAGCTCTCCCAGTTATGGCTGGTCGGCTTCGCTGGGCGGACCTCCGGGGGCGCGGCTCTCGGGGGGGGGCGCGGGGCGGCGGAGCCCAAGCACGCCGGCGGCCGCCTGCCGCAGCGCACGCCGCGGCGGGCAGGCCGCGGCCGCCGCGCCGCGCGGCCGCTGTGGGCAGGCCGCCCGCCAGGGGGGTCGCTCCCGCCTATGGGGCCGCCACGCCCTTTGCGCGCAGCCGAGAGGTGGCGCAGGGAGGTCGCCGAGGCCACCGCCAGGCGGCGGGAGGACCCGGGTCGGAGGAGGAGGAGGAGGAGGAGGAGGAGGAGGAGGAGGAGGAGGAGAGGGAGGGGGATCGGGAGGAGAAGGAGGAGAAGTGGGAGGAGAAGGAAAAGAAGAAGGAGGAGAAGGAAGAGAGAGCGGCATCGGGGCTCCGCGGGGATCTCTGGGAAGTGGTGTGTGTGAGCGCCCGTCTGCAAGCCTCCGCGAGTGTCGGGCGTGGCTGGCAGTGGCCCAGGCCAACAGTGGCCCCAGCTTGCCCAGGGGGCTTCCCCAGGGAGCTTGCCCAGGGAGCTTCAGGAGCACCCCTCACATGCCGCGGAGGACTCCAGAGGCGCCAATTGTTCAGCGAGGTGCTGGGAGCATCTCGGTCTAGGACCACCGTGGTTGTTCCTCTGTCGGAGAAGGAAAATATACCGATGCCGCTGCCCCTTGCCTCGTCTGCGCCTTTTTGATGCCTCCTAGGGGGCCTGCGTCGCATCTGCTGGACTCGTTGATTCTGGTCAGATCTCGGGAGGGAGAACGGGTATCAATGACACGCTGTCGTTGGGAGACCGTCTGGGTGGAACTTCCTCATTTTTGTCCGAACGCCTGGCGTTTCTTCAGCAGAAGCTTGCATATTGAGTTCCCACGGCGGCATGGCACGTATGTGTATATAGATATAAATATATACATTTACATCGATGTGTATACATACATGCGTGCATACATACAACTATGTATGCACGTATGTAACTATGTGTACATATACAACTATATATGGATGACTACATACATGCAAGCATACGAACTGCCGTGTATAGGAAATGTACAGGTATGCATGTGTCTTCATATAGATACACATGCCGGTACATATATAGATATGCATATACACATACATACCTATTTATATGCTTATATTCAAATGATATACTGGACTGTAATGGCGTTTCGCGCCATGCACCTTGGTCCTTGAAGTTTGGTATGCAAGCGGAATAGCAGGAAGGTCAAGCCGACAATTTAGCGTTAACTCCTTGTTGCCTTTTCTGGCATCGCCGCTATACTACTGTTATTCGTTAACCTTCCATCACGCTTCTTTTTCCTCATTTTCGCCATACCCTGCGCATTATCCCCATCCTCCTCAGCTCTTTTTTGCGGAGGCGCCTCTCTGGAGAGCCTCTGGGGGCCTCATAAAAGTTGTTTCAGGCTTTCTTAAGGCCTTCTGGAGGCCTCCTGGGCGTATTCTGGGGGCCTCTGGGGGGCTTCCTCGGGCCACCCTGCCTCCAACCGCGGTCTCCCTGAACGACTGGGTCACGATTTGGAATGCTTCGGAGGGCGTCTTGGGGCCATCTTGGGCCGGCATAGGGCTCTCTGAGGGCCAAATTGGACCCGTGTTGTGCCGTTTTGGGGCTCTCTTGGATTGTCTGGAATCCTTTTCAGATGGTTGTGGGGCGATTTGGGAGCCTCCCGGGCGGCCTCGGACGCCCAGAAGACCGCCGTCTTGGAGCGTCGGGAAGACGAAAAGAGGAGAACCCCAAAATCCATCAAAAACCAACAGAAAATCAATGATTGTTGCCTCTTGGGGCCTTCGTGGGAGTGCTCGTGGAGGCCTCTTTGGGGCTGTCCTGGATGCCTCTTGGGCAATCTTGAGGTCACGTTGGTCACTCTTGGAGCGCTCTTGTGCTGTCTTGGGGGTCTTTGAGACGTCTCCGATGACCCCCCTGATCGCCCTAGGTGTGCTGGGAAGGCTTGGCAAAACGCCCTGCGATGCCCGGGGGGCCGCTTCGAGGCCCGTCCGGAGGGTCCCAAAGCCCCAGATCCTAGGAGTCAGGTTTTGAGTGGGGGGGGGCGGGTTTTCCCCCCGCCTGGGCTTGCAAAAATATAGGAAAGGAATGTCTATACATACATATATATATATATATATGCACACACACGCATCTATACACAATTACTGGGGGACCAGACCCGCGAGTCTGGGGCCAGAGCCTTGACCACAAATGTGTGTGCCGGGGCTTTGGGGTGCCCCTGAGGTGGACAAACCGCCACCAAGCAGCGCCAAGAGAGTCTCCAGACGCTCCAAGAGGGCCCCGAGACGGCCATAGGTCGCGCCAAGAGGCCCAAGATGTTCTCCAGACGTCCCAAGAAGCTTCCAAGACGCCCCAAGAGGCCTCAAAACGCACTCCCGAGAGGGCTGAAAGACGCACAAATCAGTGATTGTCCATCGGTGTTTGACGGATTTGGCACTCTCGCTTTTTCTGAGGCGCTTGATCTCGCCCAAAGGCAGCTGGAGAGGCCTCCAAGAGCGCTTCAAATTGGCCCAAGACGGCCTCCAGGTGGCCCAAGAAGCTTCCAAGACGCCCCAAGAGGCCTGCCAAAGCACTACCGAGAGGGCTGCAAGGTGCACAAATCAATGATTGTCCATCGGTGTTTGACGGATTTGGCATTCTCGCCTTT